TATATATATATATATATATAAAAAATCACTAATATAGCTCACCATTAATTCATGATCAAACTGCTGAGTATCCGCCATCACAAGAGAGGAGATGTGTTCTTCACAAACCGAAACCAGATCCCCAAACACTTCATTCAGCAGCCCCTACAATATCAGAGGAAAATTAAGGGGGGGTTAAGGAGACACAAAAGGGATCAAGAGACATCACAAATTATAGGCGTATGCAATGCTATAGGAGACGAGGCGGTCAGGGACCACAGATAAGATACAGAAGACAAATCAGACGTTCTACAGCTTCTAGCAACATCAACGCTGCAAAAATGAATACTCCAAAACCAGAAGCGGTCCATTACCTGGGCGGACTCCAGAGAATCAAACTGTGCATAGCAGAGTTTCTGCAGGGACTCAATCGCTGGACTGATTATCAGTGGAGACGATTTAAACTCCTTCAACCAGCACTTAATATGGTCTGGAAAAAAAACAAAACAAGCATAATAGACTTTATACTGCTACAGACAATGTAACGTTTTCCTGTATATGCAGCCGTCCTGCCCATTCAGCACATCACTGCTGAGGAAACAACTCACCTCTTAGGCTGGGTTCACACCTAGGCGTATTACGCATGCACGTCTGTCGCGCGACCGTCACGCGGTTTTTACCGCGATTCGCGGTAAAAAAAAAATCACGCGACCGTCACGCGATTCCGAAGGCTACTTGGCTGTATCCCAATGGAAAACGCCCTCCAAAACGGCCCAAAGAAGTACATGTGCTTGTTTGGGCGTCAGCCGTTTTGTAGGGCGTTCAGACGGGCGGAAATACGGAAAGGTGTGAACCATACCCATAGAAAACAATGGGATTTTCATGGTTGTACGTTTTGTAGAGCGTTCATAGAGCGTTGAACGCCCGACAAAACGGAAAGGTGTGAACGGGGCCTTACTGGCAAGCAATGCAGCAATTAGACGCAGCAGATACAGTGCAATTCCCTAGTCTTCACTGTTCATGGGGTCACCCTCACTGCACAAAGTTAGACTGGAGACTATTTGTACAATGCATCAATAAATGGCACTCGGCTAGTTCAGAGAGCTATACTCAAGCATGGATCACAGGACCCCATAAAACACTGGAAGCTTTGACAACCATTAAAGCTGAAGGCTTTGCGTCATATTTAATTCCAAGCCAATTAAAAACTCTACATGCAGAGAATGTTGCGCTGCACTCTAGAATCAATATAGTCTCACCAACATAATGTAGAAATTAGAATTTGCCCCTCTGTCTGTAACACTCAATCCTACCTATCAGCTGCGCTCTGGTGTCTGCAGGCAGGTGTTTTGCAATGTGACCGATTACACATAGAATATGGGCGGTGGTACTGCTGGAGCCTGCATCGTTCTGTCTGAAAGAGAGAAAGCCACATCAGCCAATCAAAAATCGGGTCTGCAAAACAACTCTGCTACAGAAGACGTCTACAGAATTGAATGCCCAGCAGACCACTTACCTGCTGATTTCTTCCCAGGTGTTCAGGATCTTCGAATAATCCAATTTCGGTGCAGATATGGCAACTTTAGCAAGCACCATCCAGGCTGGGGCAGCATGTTCTGTATCCGTGTGAGAAATCAAGTTGTTGATTAAAGTGGAAGAAAATTTATCTTGCTTGGCCCACAAGTAAAATGCTTTTGTCAGGTAACGGCTGCAAAAAAGAAAAAAAAAAAGAAATAAAAAAAAAAGAAGCACTCCAGTGTAAAGCATTGCAAAACTTCTAATAGGAGAGCTTTATATCTATAAATATAATATGCTATTATAATATAAATATAATAGATCGATATAAAAATCGATATATACATATAGATTACATTCCTGCCTTCGGAAATGATGAGGGCTGGTAGCAGATACCAAAAATCTCAGAATAATGTGTGGCCCATGCACACTCTGTTTTAAAGATCATTGGTAGTCAATGAGACTCATGGTGTCTGTCTATGACCACCCCTCTCCATCGCAACATCATGCCTGAAGCCTCATAGCAGTGCGAGATCTAAAGGCACTGCTGCCTTTGATGGCTAGTCTCAGATTTGGAGTGACACTACGGTGCTGCTCACTGTTCTCCTTGCTGAAGAGGAAGCTGTACATGAGGATCTGCAGTGCAAGGATCTCCTAGCTTCAACTATTCTGTGTATCTGCAAATTATGAACCTTTCCTGAAGTTTCTGGAACTTTACTCCACCTGTCTTCATAAATCACCAGTTATCAGACAGGTAGGTGCAAAACCAGTTGTGGGCTGTCTAAGGCAATTTTCACCCTTTTGTAAAGGGATGTCCCAATACCGATACTAGTATTCGGGGGCCGGTTCAGGGCATTAGTAACTGCCCTAAAATCATTAGTCTCTATTGGTTTAGAAAACAATGGCACATGCCCGAGGGAAAGTACTTGGTCTCCAGGGGAAAAAAAAAAATCAGGATATCCCTACATTTAAATTACCTCTAGAAGAAATAAAACAAAAAGGGGCAAAAAAACAAAATGATTGTACTATGCGTGTGGTCAGCCAATGGGTTAGGAATGCAGAGCGCTCTAGGGAGTAGGAAAGGTGGACAGAAGTTCCCGTCTCCTCACCTAAGATCCTGGCACTCTGTAGTGAGCAGCTGCAGCAGATCCCAGGTGAGTTTCTGTTTCTGGTCATTGTTCTTGTAGTGTTTGTAATGGCGAATGTTCTGAAGAATAAGCTGGTCCAAACACTCCAGTGTCTTCTCCTGTACAGTGGTCTCTGTGTCCAGCACCACCGGCACCAATCCGGTTAACCAGGCCTTCTGTACAAGAACATTCTTTGGTTGAGCCTGAAAGACATAGAAACAGTCATTTTACCTGATGCCTCCAGAATCCTGAAAAGGGATTAAGCAGGAGCAGAACTACACAGAGGTCACAAGAAATAAAAACAGATACAGATGGGTGGGCCCGGAGCTTGATCCCCCTACTGGAGGGTCAAGAAGCCATCAGGCATCCCTAAGGGCTATGGGGCTCGTTCTGTTACCCCAAGCCTCCTTTGGATTGTACCTTAGAATCACGAGGTCCATGGACTGCATAATGTCATCTGTAATCCTAAGCTGCACAAATACCCAAACCTCAAGAATGCTGACATCAGTAAGATGGCAGAAGTGTACTTGCTCCCCCTTTACATATATTGTATTAGTAGGCAGCAGTTCGGCCACAGACCTGGCAAAGGGGGAGCTGCGCACAAGGCTGCGATCTAACCAAGCAAATGTTTATTTTTAAACCTGAATATCTAGCAACACTTAAGCACCTTCATCAGAAACTAGCCTCCAGTGGCATCATGTTAGAAAGCTATCCAATAGAGACCCTCGGCAGCAGCATTGTACCACACACAGAGGTTTGTTTTAAAGAGCCTAAATGGGCAAAGTGACCGTGTTGTTCCCCTAAAACCTCTTCGGGAATTCCCCCCCCCCCCTCTTCCGTTTGCAACCCCCCCTCCTAAAAAAAAA